ACAGGGATCAATAGTGTAAAATTTGGCGTGTTTTCTGCTTACCAGTCACTGCCAAGTACAATACTGCAGTCATGATTTAATATTTTATGTGCTTTAAGTAAAAATAAAGTATCTATAAACATTGTAAATTAGTTGGTAAATGTGAAATTATATTACGGTACCAAAGAAATGCTTTAAGAAAATATGCTTTATTGCTCTTTAGAGGGGAGCATTATCTATTTTGTAGAGACGAAAGTATATATACATGTATATAAAAAGAGCTATCATTACTCATGTTCCTGAGACTGTAGATAACAAATATAGTGTGATTTTTATACCCATGCTTAACAAAGTGGGGTTATATAGTGACCAGTGTACGTCTGTCTCTCCATATTGTATCATATATATATATCTGATGAATTAAGTAAAAGTTTTAAGTGATTTTAGTATTATGTATTTGGTATGAATAAAAGAAGTTGAGAGATGCGAGTCAATAACACAGCATGCGTTGTTGTGTATCTGTAAATCTTAAGAAAAACTGATCCTTCAACTCTCCTATTTTCTGATATATCGCAACATATCAGAAAAAGGGAACGATACCAGATTGGCTTTTAATTAGATTGAGTATCTCTCTAGTTGACTTATACTTCACAACTCTGTGGATTGTAAATGTTGATTGGGTATATATATAGGATGATATGGTCACATGCACTTCTCTGACCCAGTGGCAAGACCTGTGCTAAAGAGGTTCATTTGTTTGTATGAGAGATGTAAATACACACGCAGAAGTGTCTAGTCAGTAATGGACATTAACAGTAATATTAAATATGATGCCTAATGTTTACCTAGACTGCCAGGCTCTTTGCATGTAAAAAAGACTGTTTACAGTCCCTCATTCAGTGGTATGTAGGTAATTTGTTTTGTTATAGGGCAAGATTTCTCTGATTTCAGTTACTCTAAATAATTTATGGGTAGTCATCAGGATTGACCACCTTGTGAAACCTACCTAATTGATTTTTGGTTTAAATTATTCTGGTCCTGAATATACATGATATGTTTACTACTGGACATTAAACAAACAACCTATCAATCACAACTTCTTTCAATATTGTTTTTTCTTCTTCTTTGAAATCCTCATAGGACCGTATAGATTTCAAAGGTTATAAACACCTTCATTCAGAAGTCTGACAACTTAGATGTTGGATTTTTACTAGTTGAATGATTTATGATTTTCTTCTTTGTATTGATTAGTATACTTAGTAAAACACTCTTGGGATCTGTTATTTAGAATGCCCTGTTTTAATACTAAAGATAATTGATTAGAAGTAATTGTATATATCTGTGTCCTGAAAATTTATTTACCAATAAATTGTCAGAAGGTCTCTATTGGAATTAATCTCAAAGCTTGGTGTAATTGTTATAGTCCTGATTGACAGTGTTGCACATTTTTTTTAGCATTTCAAAAATATCAATATTACATGATATTGAAAGGATTTAACTTAGTATAACACGGAAGTTATATTTGTTAAGGAACTACTTTAATACATCTAGATATGTGTAAGTACTTCTTGCTAGCTTTCAATACACTACATGCATATTTTTTAACTTTAAACTTTTTTAACAGTGTTTGTGTTGACATTATTTAGTATTTTTTACCTGTTATTTGTGTTTTTTTTGTTGTCTGCAGTACAAATATAAATGATTTTAGAACTTTATAAAATGTTTATGCCGTGCCTAAGATAATAGGGAGCATTATCTGTTCTTATGTTGACCGACTACACAATTGTCCCAGTTTAAGGGAGGGTAGGGCTCATAATTTTTAACTCTGCAACATTCTGTAGTCAGCTTTTGTCACTGTTTGCTGCTTGCATGCTGCTTGATATATCTGTTTTTCTTTGTCATTTTGTTATAATCAGGCTGTTGGTTTTTTCCTTTAAATTTGTTTCACATTTTGTCATATCTTGGCCTTGTAAAGCTGATTAATTTAGGGTATGGGTTTTGCTCATTGTTGAAGGCCGTACAGTGACCTATAATTGCTTAAATAAATCCACATCATTTACACACTGTTAGATAGTTGTCTCACTGGCAATCATACTACATATCCATATTTTATATTATGTTTTGGTATGTCCATCTATCCTTTAATCGATCCTGTATCTAAAAGTAAAGTTTTTGTTTAAGCTCACATCAAATTGAAACTTAGTATCCATGTTCATTCGTTGTGAACTTTTTTCAAATATATACCAAATTAAGAATCTTGTAATATATGTATCATTTAATTTACTATTCAAATCATTAATTAATGGTCATGTTGAATTATGATTAAGTATTGAAGCTTCATTTTGACCGAGTACAAATTGACGATTTATCTTGACTAGCTGTAGACCATGATTGTTAGTACTCTGTTTTATTTGATTTAGTTAATGAACTATATAAGTTAATACACATTATATGTTTGCTTGATTAATCGTCTGCCTGATTAATCGTCTGATTGATGATCAACAATTGTTGTGTTTTATTGATGATTGGGAAATGACTTTCACTTGAAACAGATCTGCCTCATTTGGATAGAATTTTTCTGATAAGATTGTTGTAAGTATTAAACATTTGTACTTGAAATTTCCTTTTTACATGGTCGATAAAGCACTTTAGAATTGCTTACTTTATCAACTTTATAAATTTGTTTTTGTATATCATACAATTGAATATTGGATGATTTGTTGTCCTGGGATAAATGAGTAGATTTCTTTTAGTAGAACTATTTCATAGATAAAACAATTACCTTAATGAACTGAGTAGCTTTAAAAACTAGACTAGGAACTAGGAATAATTTAAAAATTTAAGCAATAAAAAATGTTCAAGATTTTGGTTTTATATAAATGATACTGATTACAGCTCTCAATTCTGCGTTTTAGCAGATATAACATTTGCAACCTTTCAAAATACTGGATTTATTGTTTCGACCACCAATTTTGCACTCTGAGTACTGAGTAAAGTTTTATGACTGAGAGCCCGGACCCTAAAACATTTTGCAATTTTCCAGGAAGAGGGAAAAATTGTTTATTACTATCAATTTCAATTCAAAGTCACATTTATCAGGGGATCCTCTTCTTTGAGGCAATCTCTTTTAATTCGTCAAATTTCTTTTTATTTATTTTCTAATGAAACTCAGGGAATTGATCTTCTTTCAATGTGTGCAGGGAATTCTTAGTAATGATATTTGAACTTATTTTCTTAAAGATAGTTTAGAGTTGAAAGTTAGATAATCTCTGTAACAAGCTTATTTTCTTAAAGATAGTTTAGAGTTGAAAGTTAGATAATATCTGTAACCTGGTAACAAGCTTATTTTCTTAAATACAGTTTAGAGTTGAAAGTTAGATAATCTCTGTAACAAGCTTATTTTCTTAAAGATAGTTTAGAGTTGAAAGTTAGATAATCTCTGTAACAAGCTTATTTTCTTAAGGATAGTTTAGAGTTGAAAGTTAGATAATATCTGTAACCTGGTAACAAGCTTATTTTCTTAAAGATAGTTTAGAGTTGAAAGTAAGATAATCTCTGTAACAAGCTTATTTTCTTAAAGATAGTTTAGAGTTGAAAGTTAGATAATCTCTGTAACAAGCTTATTTTCTTAAAGATAGTTTAGAGTTGAAAGTTAGATAATCTCTGTAACAAGCTTATTTTCTTAAAGATAGTTTAGAGTTGATAGTTAGATAATCTCTGTAACAAGCTTATTTTCTTAAAGATAGTTTAGAGTTGAAAGTTAGATAATCTCTGTAACAAGCTTATTTTCTTAAAGATAGTTTAGAGTTGATAGTTAGATAATCTCTGTAACAAGCTTTATTATTCCTTCTGTTTCTTTATTTGTATTGAAAAATGAATAAATACAATGGAACCAAATTGTCTTTTTTACTATCAATTTGATATCAAAGTCACATTTATTTCTGTTTTATGTCAAGGGATCCTTCTCTTTTCATGCTTTTGTCTTGTCAAATTTCTTTTTTTTTATATTCTTATGAAGCTTGGGAAATGGATCTTCTTTCAACCTATCCAGGGAATCCTTATTAGGGTAATAACATTTGAACTTATTTTAACAAAGGAAGTCCAGAGTTGAAAGTTAGATAAACTCTACAATAAGAACATGTTTTGAAGGCTTTATTATCCCTGGTGTTTCTTTATATCTGAATAACTACAATGGAACCAAATTGTCTGGTCATCAGTAAAATTGACTATCAATATATTAACATTGTACATGATCTGTTTATACAGTAAATAATTCCTTGGTGAGATTAACAGCAGTAATTGATCAATATTTTGTTTTTACAGAACCAAGTAGAACTAATTTAACATTTGTTTTCATGCAGACATGCAATACATCAGTAAAGGCCAATATTTATGTTAGAAAATGAGCTTTTGATTAAATTAAAGATACTGATAAATTTTTCTTTTGATGATCAGGGCAAATTGAAGTGATTAGTGTCCAAGATATCTCTTCTTTTGGTGATGTTGGTAGATTCTTATAAATATTTAGATTTTTACAGAATGTGAAAATATTTTTGGGTTATCTAGATTTTCACAAAATTTGAAAATATTTGGTATGCCTACACACCACCACCGAGTGTATCAACCCGAAATCTGTGGAGGGATCCGAATCCAGAGGAGCAATAATACACCAAAAATACAGACGGTGGGTAAGTAAAATCTGTATCCGATTCCCACAGAGGATTATGCTATGTGGAAATCAGAACCAGTGCACACCCACTGTTTATATTTTTTGTGTGATTGCTGCTCTGGATTAGGATCCCTCTATAATAAGATATTGGATCGGGATACCCAGTGTGTACCTTATCAGTGATCTATACATTAATTTTATTTTTCCCTAATTTTTTTATGTATTTAGAAAAAGATTTTCATCAAAAACTTCTGAGAAGAAGCATTTAGAGTTGTACTGTTGAAAACCATAGGAGAATTGATAAGAAAAAAGATAACAACCTATTGTCAACTAGTATGTTTTCTCTTTACAGAAACATGGTACATCTATGAGAGGACCAAGACCAATCAAGCTTGATGCCGAGGTAAGAATCATGTAATAAGTAGCTTAGCCAAACAAAACAGGTCAGAGTAACTGTAAAAAATACACTTGAATGAAATAAGTAGTATATTCCAGTAAGGAGGACTAGTTCAACAACCTGTCAATACAACCAAAGCAGAAATATCCTGGAGAAATCACTTTCTCATATTTTCATGCTATTTTCACATGTCTCGATTGATGTGAGAAAGATATTTCTTATCTCTAGAGAAAACTTTGTTCTCGACAAAGAATTGGTCGAAATTTCAATTATGACGTCAAATTTTCTTAATTTCTTCTGAATTTCTTATTGTGAGGTCATGAAAAAAGGCGACCATGCCTGATGATGTCACACATATAAAGAACACAACTTTCTGCAAATCTTTGAAGGGGAAGGATAAACTTGTTTAGATATTGTCTTAAAATCATTAGAGAAACAGATTCCACCACTCTATCTCGTGTATTACAATATTTCTCCACTCTCGACAGTTAAATTTTAAATATTTATAAAGCTTGGCAAGCCTCGTGCTTTAAATTATAAAATCAAACTGTCTCCAGTTGAGAAATATCGTAACACACTTGATGCAGTGGTTGAATCTATATAAACATACCAGTCTGCAATCCTTTTAAGTTTTAAAGTAACACACAATATCAGGATCTCCAATCGATTTATATTAAAAGAAAAAAAACATTCAATGTATGTTAAAAGAAAGAAAACATTCACTTTTGTAAAAAGCAATTTCATTTATTTGCTAAGGAAGTACAAAATAGAAGAGGGATTGTCATGCGTTAATACTTTTGTAAGATATTTTTCTAGTACCCTAGCTGTCTTAAATATGTTTTATATCAAGTGATGAATTTAAAGACAGGAATTTCAGACAAAACTTAACTTCCAATTGGAGTATGTAATGATGGATATACAGGATTTTCAATTCCATCTTGTAAATATATCACAATGAGGGTCTAGATGGGGTTTACAGAATAGAGAATAATGGACAAAAGAATTAAAGAATAGAGAAAAATGAACCAAAAATAAAAAAATAGTGAATAATGGCCAAAAAAAATAAAGAATAGAGAAAAATCAGCAAAAAAAATAAAGAATGTAGAATAATGGGGTGCAAAAGTATAAAGAAAAATTGTGAAAAATAAAAAAACAATACAATACTGATTACAGAAATGATTTCTGAACAGAATAAAGAAATTATCTCATAACAGAAAAAATTAATAGTAAAATCATTGTCATAAGATATTTTTAAAAATAATGAAAAATTACCTTAAAATTTAAAGAATACAGAAGTTCAAGAACCTCATCCAGACCCTCCTAAATGTACTAACTGTTATCAAATGAAAAAAGTTAAAAGCTTTTACAAAAATAAATTATATTTTTCTTTTAAAACATATATTGATTTGAAAACTTCTTGTTTTGTGATACTTTAGATCTTAAAAGGAATGATGTAAGATTTTTTTCAGAATTGAGTTTGTAACACTTAAAGGATTTCATTGGACATTGAAATGAATGTCACTAGAAGTTTCCAGCAATTTTATTGAACAGTTCTTTGAGTTTTATGATGTAGAAGTGAAGTTGAAAGATCCACAATTGTTACATGAGCTGATGGCAAAATTTATTGCAGGATTTATATTTGGCATCAAGAATAGATTTGAATTCATTTGATTTTCTTTGTTTTGTCTTAACTTTATTGTATAATTTGAATTGAAAAAGTATGGACACGCCCAAAAAACAACTTTATTTTGTGGAGGATATATGGATAGCTATAATACATGTAATAAAGCTAATTTGAAATTATTTTTTTGAAATCATTTCATTATAGAGTTGTCTATTTCATTTAATATTTATAAATATTCATTGATTATATATATTTTCATTTCTTAATTTGCAAATAATTGATATTTGTAGTAGTTCTGAAAATTTTCCTTTGCATGGGACAAATAACATGCATATGATTAAAGACCTTATTGCTCAAAAAAATTGAAAACAACACGTTTAATAATTTCATGCGTCTGAAGTGCTTTTCTGGATTTACCTTCATCAGGAACGCTCAAAGCCAAACATTTGAAATCCGAGGATGTATAAGTACCGAAACAGTTGAAGAGCTTTATGACAAAAATACCTAAAAAATAGCCAAATTCATCTAAGGCCAATGCCTGAGGGAGTTGAAACCTTAGTTTCTTTATAATTTCAAAATTTATAATTGGACAATTTTAGAAAGGTTTGTTATAAATCATGTCAGTACCGAAGTACTGACTACTGAGCTGATGATCCCCTGGGGGACTGATAGTCCACCAGCAGAGGTATCGACCCAGTGCTGTAAAAATGACAAAATAATATATGTATAATATTTGGAAAAATATTTAAATGTTTCATCAATTAATATTTTTTGCCTATTCGTAACTCCAATCAATATCTTATAATTGACAAGCCTGACAATTTCACTATTTCTTTTGACAAAGATATTATCCTTTGATTTGTGACATACTTTTCCCATACACAATTAAAACAGAACTAATGCATACAGTTACATTAGATTTTTGTCCTGAATAAACAAACTGTTAAAGATTTCTGATATTTGAGCCATGATTTAATTACAGTAATAAAGATTTCTGATTCCTTTGTATTTAGTTTCCGTCTCGGTGTATTGATTGTAAACAATGTTTTGTACGACTGTGTTTACCAATTTCGAGTTGTTATTTCATTTAATTTTTAAGAAAGCTGATTTAAAGAAATATATCAGTTGTTTGAATCAAGTTTGCTCAGTGCATTCTATAGTTGTCTAAGCTTAATTATGAATAACCTAAATCAGACTTTTAACTTGTGAAATATTAATTTCAAAGAATACATTTGTTTTTAATAGCTCTTGATAGAATTTGATATAGATTGACATGTTACAATTTGTTCATGTAGAACTATTATCTGTGGGTTAAAGAAACAGAATCGGGTTATTCTAAAAACACATTAATGGTTTTAACTATAAAGGGGGTCTGGTTGTCAGAGTGGTCTAAGTTGTTCATCTATAGCATCATTCACTAGCATGTCAACACTGAGGTTGTGAGTTGGAACCCTGCATGTGGCATGTGTATGAGACGCTGACCTTAATTACTGTGGATTCATAATTTTTCGTTGGATACCAATTTTCGTCGATTTCGTTGGTATAGGTAAACCACGAAATTAAATGTTCCAACGAATGACAAATTTTCTATAGGCTTGCATACAGACTTCGGCAAAACCATGAAATTAAATATCCACGAATATGTAAGTTTTCCTTTATCCACGAAAATTGGTACCCACGAAAATAAATGAATCCACAGTAACTAGGATTGTGAAGGTTGTGGTTCTCTCCAGGCTCTCAGACTTTACTCTATCATTAAAAAGTGGCTGCAATGATAAAGCTGAAAGTCAAGTTATTTATTGGTACATGAAATTGCAAAAATAAAAGAATTCTTCATTCCTTTCAGTATAATATTCATTTTACTAATAAACAGACAAAATTATGGAAATCGGGCAGTTTCTTAGTACTTAAATGTCATCAACTGATTGGTCTAAATGTCCTTTCATTAAACTATTGCAGTATTTTTGAAACAATAACAAATATTTGTCTTTGCAGGAACAAGCCAAAATTGCCAAGTTGGGGCTGGAGATGAAATTGATTACATCTGAGATGGATGCTGAAACAGACAAGTGGGAGGAGCCAGACAATGACATTGTCAAGCGAGCCAAAAACATGTCAAGCATGGCATTTTCTATGTATCTGTTTACAAGAGGGGAGGGACCATTGAAAACAACACAAGATCTGTTTGTACAGGCTGAATATTTCTCAGAAGAAGGATATAAACTGTACAAATCTGTCAGGGAGTTTGTTGATAGGGTAGGTTTAATAGAGTGTAGAGGATGTAAACTGTAGAAATCTGTCAGGCAGTTTGTTGATCTGGTAGGTTTAAAAAAGGGTTTAAAAGATATTGACTGTAGAAATCTGTCAAGGAGTTTGTTGATAGGGTAGGTTTAATAAAGGGTTTGGAGGATATAAACTGTAGAAATCTGTCAGGGAGTTTGTTGATCTGGTAGGTTTAATAAAGAGTTTGAAGGATATAAACTGTAGAAATCTGTCAGGGAGTTGTTGATCTGGTAGGTTTAATAAAGGGTTTGAAGGATATAAACTGTATAAATCTGTCAGGGAGTTTGTTGATCTGGTAGGTTTAATAAAGGGTTTGAAGGATATAAACTATAAATCTGTTAGGGAGTTTGTTGATCTGGTAGGTTTAATAAAAGGATTGAAGGATATAAACTGTATAAATCTGTCAGGGAGTTTGTTGATCTGGTAGGTTTAATAAAGGGTTTGAAGGATATACACTGTATAAATCTGTCAGGGAGTTTGTTGATAGGGTAGGTTTTATAAAGGGTTTGAAGGATGTAAACTATAAACCTGTCAGGGAGTTTGTTGATCTGGTAGGTTTAATAAAGGGTTTGGAGGATATAATCTATAAATCTGTCAGAGAGTTTGTTGATCTGGTAGGTTTAATAAAGGGTTTGAAGGATATAAACTGTATAAATCTGTCAGGGAGTTTGTTGATAGGGTAGGTTTTATAAAGGGTTTGAAGGATGTAAACTATAAACCTGTCAGGGAGTTTGCTGATCTGGTAGGTTTAATAAAGGGTTTGAAGGATATAAACTATATAAATCTGTCAGGGAGTTTGTTGATAGGGTAGGTTTGATAAAGAGTTTGAGGGATATAAACTTATAAATCTGTCAGGGAGTTTGTTGATCTGGTAGGTTTAATAAAGGGTTTAAAGGATTTTAACTGTATAAATCTGTCAGTGAGTTTGTTGATAGGGTAGGTTTAATAAAGGGTTTGAAGGATATAAACTGTATAAATCTGTCAGGTAGTTTGTTGATCTGGTAGGTTTAATAAAAGATTTAAAGGAGATAAATTTTATAAATCTGTCAGGGAGTTTGTTGATCTGGTAGGTTTAATAAAGGGTTTAAAGGATATAAACTGTATAAATCTGTCAGGGAGTTTTTTGATAGGGTAGGTTTAATAAAGGGTTTGAAGGATGTAAACTATAAATCTGTCAGGGAGTTTGTTGATCTGGTAGGTTTAATAAAGGGTTTGAAGGATATAAACTGTATAAATCTGTCAGGGAGTTTGTTGATAGGGTAGGTTTAATAAAGGGTTTGAAGGCAAGAGATATTATTTCTGTGGTCGATGCAAACAGTACAGGCTGTAAGTGAGTATATAGTGTATGATTGGAAGTGTGGGGAGAGTAAAGATATGATCTGTATAGATGACGGACTGAATGTATGAGGTGAGGAATGATACATTTTATACCCCATCTATAATAGTGGAGGGGCATAATATGTTTTTTGGTCTGTACTTCTGTCTATTAGTCCAGCTGTCTTTCCCATAAGAGCTTGAAGTTTTGATTTAAAGAAGGTTAAAGTTTTAGTTTAAGTTTATGGTCACATCAACTTTAAACTTAGTACACATTTTCATTATTTAGTGAAGCGTTTAGTATATATATATATATGCCAAATAAAGGTTTTAATCAATATTTCATGGTCACTGAAGATGGAAATGTGATAGTGTGGCTAGGGTGATGTGTCCTATGAACATGTTTTATTTCAGACAGTAGGTAGGTACTGTATTATATTTCAAAAGAAGTCTGCTTTAATGGTAGGCAGTTCACATTGTAGAACAAGAGATATTTGACCAACACTGATTTAACCCAAATAATTCTGTCATTATAAATGCCTGAATGCATTGTCAAAGAAAAATCGTTCATCGGAATTAGCTTGTCATTTACCTATTTCGATAAAACATAGCTGACTGCGGATTTATAACCTCTCCAACAGGGCACCAATCAAAATCCATAATTCATGAAATTTTTTTATAGTGTGTTAGGACCACAGGCCCTCACAAGTAGGCGAGATCTATTACAGGGAGGAACTGAATTATGTGACACTTTTTTTCACATCCATGGCTCATCAACTTCCTGTTCATCGAATGAATATATAGCAGGTGTAAATTTGTAAGCAATAGCTCTGAGTTCAATTTGTTTACCTTATAATGTTGTAATTACAGGTACCAGTTTGTGCACACAGAGATGAACTGCTTTCCTATCTTGAGAAGATTCCTCCCTCATGTCAACAACTACACTCCACATTGAAAATCTCCACTGTAGGTAAAGCAGCTACATTCAGCAAGGTAAGAATATGGAAATATTTCTTTAAGTTTGAGCAGATCTGAAATGTAGATGCAATATTTTGATACCCCAATGGGTACAATTTTATGCACCAAATACTGTAAATTCAGAAATTATTGCATGCAATATTTTTGTCGAGCCTGTGTCTTCTGTTGGAGAAAGATCGACATAGGGATAGTGATCCGCCGGTGGTCGCGTTAACTAACTACTTAAGAGCTTTATATTTTAGAAGGTGGAAGACCTGGATGCTTCATACTTTGTATATAGATGCCTTATGTTATAAAGTTTCAGTCTGTCTTATGTCCATTGTCCTTGACCTCATTTTCATGGTTCAGTAACTACTTGAAAAAAAAGTTAAGATTTTTTGTAATGTTAATTTCTCTCTTATTATAAGTAATAGGATAACTATATTTAGTATGTGCATACCTTGCAAGGTCCTCATGCCTGTCAGACAGTTTTCATCTGACCTCGCCTCATTTCATGGATCAGTGAACACGGTTAAGTTTTCGTGGTCAAGTCCATATATCAGATACTATAAGCAATAGGTCTACCATATTTGGTGTATGGAATGATTGTAAGGTGTACATGTCCAATTGGCAGGTGTCATATGACCTTGACCTCATTTTCATGGTTTAGTGGTTAAAGTTAAGTTTTTGCGTTTTGGTCCTTTTTTTCTAATACTATATGCAAAAGGTCAACTATATTTGGTGTATGGAAATATTTTACAATGTACATGTCAGTCTGGCAGGTTTTATTTGACCTTGACCTCATTTTCAAAGTTTATTGCTCAGCGTTAAGTTTTTGTGTTTTGGTCTGTTTTTCTTAAACTATAAGCCATAGGTCTACTATATTTGGTGTATGGAATGATTGTAAGGGGTATATGTCTGTTTGGCAGGTATCATCTGACCTTGACCTCATTTTCATGGTTCATTGCTCAATGTTAAATTTTCAAGGTTAAGTTTGTTTCTTAGATACTATAAGCAAAAGGTCAGCTATATGTAATGCATAGATTGATTGTAAGGTATACATGTCTGTCAGTCATGGTTCATCTAATCTTGGCCTCATTTTCATGGTTCATTGGTCAATGTTAAGTTTTCCTGGTTAAGTTTGTTTCTTAGAAACTATAAGCAATAGGTCAAGTATATTTGGTGTATGGAATGATTGTAAGGTGTACATGTATTTCCGGTTTGGTTTATCTGACCTTGACAAATGTATATATTATTTCAAGGAACAAGGTATTGAAATGAAAGAAAAATGTGTACTGATAAAAAATTTGTCAACAATACATGTATGTGCTTAAGTATATTGATAGTATTTGGGGAAACATCAGCAAGACATCAAGTAAGGAAATAAGATGTCTAAAGGTCTACAAGTGTTAATGAATATAATATTTATTATACCCCCGCTTTAAAAAAGTGGGGATATACTGTTTTACCTCTGTCTATCCTTCCGTCAGTCAGTCCATCCCATGAATATTTTGTTCGCATTTTTCTCAGGAACTACTTGTCAAGGATTTCTGAAATTTGGTTTCAGGGTTTATATAAGTAAGTTACACCTTGTGATGCGTTTTCAGATTCATCACTCAACAACTTCCTGTTTACCGAACACTTGTATTATTTTAAACATGATAGCCAAGTTGAAAATTTTCGTCACATTTTTCTCAGGAACTACTTGACAAGGATTTCTGAAATTTGGATTCAGGGTTTATATAAGTCAGCTATACTGTGTGATGTGTTTTCAGATTCATCACTCAACAACTTCCTGTTTACCGAAATATTTCGGCAGGGTTATCATCAGTGAGCAGTAGCTCACAGTTTTACTTGTTATTTCTGCATGTAGATAAAGCCGTACAATTTTTGCAAAATTATTGCCTGAATCTGTACGATGCTAGCTAGTGTTTAATACTGAACAATTTTTTTATTCCTCATTGCAGGTTGATGGTGCTATTCAGGAAACAAAGAACTTGATGAATGTCATTGCTAAGGTTGTCACTACATCATTTATATGTGCTACAAAGGTATGATTTCAGAAGCTAATGCATTCTGGGTAATATTTCAAAGCATATGCCAAAACATTGTGATTGGTTAAAAACACCCTGAACAATGGAAGTTCAATCAATGACATGGCATTATTTAATTTTGAGGATGTAAATAATGAAATTACCAATGGTCCTTTAGATGCTGAGATGATGTAACCAGTTTTTGTTATGTTTTTCATTATATCTCAAATTTGCCAAAATCTGATTTTTCAAGAATCAGGGGAAAAAAATTACTCCGTTGGGATTTGTTTATGTTTTTGACAAACTTTTTCATCTTAAAAGTGAAAAATGATTTTAAGTACCTCAAAAATGTGAATAGCTCTTGGTGGAATTAATATTGAGAATGATTAGGTGGGTTGTAAATGGGGGGGGGGGGGGGGGGGGAGGTATTTGGAAGTACATACTGGAAAATAGCCATTTCACAATGAACAACATAAAAGTGTCTTACATGTTTCTTTTCCTCCAATTTTCATAAAACAGGTGTTAACAATCGGCAGGAATGAAAACACTTGAAATAAAAGTTGCACAAAAATTACCTTTACCACCCTCGATTAAGTGTACACATGAATAATTTCTGAAATAAGGACCAGAATGTCTTTTGGTAAATTGAATTAAAGAATGATGGAAGTTTACCAAATAGACTAGAGAAAAATGGATAAAAACATTAACAAAATAGTCTTATCGCTCAATTTTAGAAAAAAAGATTACAGATTCTGCTATTTGAGGCATTTTCACACTACTGACTTGATATTGCAGTGAGGTGTTTGGCTTTTTCTTTGGTTTGAAGTCCTCAAGAAAAAGAGCAATTAAAGCACCATAATAATTTTATTGTTTTCAAGCCCATAAGGGATTTTGTGTTACAAATCTTTACACCAACTCCATAGTTTTTCATTGGGTTTGTTTTGTATTTTAAAAGATGTCCTTTGTTTATTATAGTATAGCATAGACTATCGTAGATCCCCAGGAGGAACAAGACGATGGCGAACGTCCTACGAGAACAGGTCCAGTAGTGACAGCGAATCAATGCACAGCAGTACACAATCAGATGGTCTTAATAGAAGTTCATCATCAAATAGACAGTTCTCAAGTAACAACAGTCTGGAAAAAGAATCTTAGCGTTAATATTAGTCGTCGTTGTAAATCCACGTCATAAAACTACACTCAGTACTCAGAGTACACAATGTGTGCTTGAAACATCCAAACCAGAATTTTGAATGGTTGATTTCTGAGTCTGAGAATGATAATCGTAATGGAAAGTTTTATGACTACTGAGAGCTGTTCCATAAAAACATACATGGGACCTAGAGAAGGCACTTCAAAATCTCAAATATGAGTGGGTATCAAATATTTGTTTGTAACATTTTTAAATTGTTTAGGTTATTCTCTTACTTTCAAAATGCTTTCACTAGGTATCATATATGTTTTAATGAAACAGCCCTGGTGTTCAAGCTGCTACTTGGTGATGTTCAGTGAAATAGGATTTGAGGCTTTTCTTTACTATATATTTATAGACTAAAATGACAAAATCAGGATGGAAAAAAAAAACATTTGAGCTGTGTCAGATAGAATTTGACCTTGTGCAAGTGCATGTATACATGTACATGTATAAGACTTTGATTGATTTTGGAACATTCAAATACGAAATAAAAGATGAATTTTGGTCTATTTTGTAGAGTTCTTATAACAAATCAATTTTCAAACAGTTACAGACTTTCTGTATAGATTTTTTCATCCAGAAATATGTTAACAGATGCACTGATAATCAATTGCATAAGGTCAATTTCTATCCGATGCAGCTCATTTGTTATGTGTCAAGTCCTGTTTCATACCATTAAGTTAAGAACAATTCATTTATATGTGTGCAACTTTTAAGAAATATTTATAGGAACAGGAAAAGAATCTTCCAGTCCACTGTGTACATGAAAGTAGTCACACACTCTTCCTACAAACAAGTGATAATTCTATTATCTGCTAATGAAATAACAAATGACTCTAGATCTTGGAAGAAAAAAACGGCAGTTAGCTTAGAAAAATTTAAAATAGGAAGTTTTTCATTGTGGTGCGATTTTTTACAGGATTTACTGCTTACATAGGAGAATTAATGAAATTCTCACATTGACAAATCACAAATGAGCGCCCTTTTTTCGAAAGCAGGGAGGGATGGAGTTTGGGCAATTTCCTTGGAGGGTGTAGCAACAATTGTTTTCTGTTTGAAAAATCTGTTCTGAATCAGTACAGTAAAATACAAAAAGAATACAAAAAAAAAAAAGTAATGTTCATATATATACCATTGAAGCATTCCTTTTCTTTTAGATACCCACTATTAACAGAAAATTTTTACTGATCTTTTGATATTTTATAAAAGTTGCCATCTAATTTGAGCAAGTATTTGCAAGATAAACAAGAGCAGTGTTTCAATGAAAAGTATACTTTTTGTGTAGAAATTGTACATTTTGAATTATTCAATAATTCTCACTTTTAGAGGATTTATGAATTTAAATGTATATTAATCCATACGTTTTACAGTTTTGTCTTTTTTTTATTTGTTCATGTGTGTTAGTGAAATATTTGTGTGATGTTGACCATGATAATGTGTAAATATTTAAAACTTTTTGATTAATATTTGCCTGCTTTAATTAGAAAATATCCAAAATGATTGTGTGTATCTATTTATAGATTACAGTCAAACCAGCTGTAAAGGTCACTTTTTTTTAAAAAGATCCCGTCTTATCAGGACACCCTGTTCTTGTCCTTCTGTAGTAATACCTATGCCCTTTAAACCTCAATTCAAAGGTCACCAGCTCTCTTATGAGGTCAGTTTTCTCTGGTCCCTAGAGTGCATTTCATATACAGGTTCTACTGTATATATGTTTGACTGTCGTCTGCTTTGAAAACAGAGAGGAGATAGTAAGTGTCAATCACAAACCATAAAATAAAACAAAAACAGACAAGGGACCTTTTACTTGATGGTAATAGTTAGAGTTAAGGTTAAGGTAAGATATGGACATGGGTACCCGATAAGTTTATTGCAGGGGCCAGGCATAATATCCCCAACTACTAATTTGACCAGTTTCACTTAATGAAATAAAGGCCATATTTTTGTATGTGTGTTCTGTTTTTTTTTTATTTCTCAAGAAGTAAACTGTTCATCATTTTATATTATTACACTGAGTTTGAAAATGCCAAAGAAAATTTATAATTTGATTAAGAATAAGGTTGTATTTTAAAATTTTTACCTCTTTTTCTTGTGTTCAAATTTTATGGTCTGTTATTGATTGACAGAAGGTCAAATGAGCACCTTTTCATGTAACTTTTGTCAATCAATTTCCTGGCTATTCTATTAAAATGAAGGTGGAAGGGTAGCTATAGGAATTTTTATTTTTGGACATGAGTAGGGGGTCATTAATGGTTGTATGTTCATTTAAAGTATGTAAAATTACTCACAGAATTTATTTTTTTGTGAAGGTGATTTTGGAAGTTCCTTCTACTGTTCACATCTATTTTAATAGAATAGCTCTCATAATAAAGAAATTAGTTTATCATTGCACCAATGCATTACATAGGTTGCTATCAAATATTGAACATTTTAATTGTATATTTTAATAAAGTGTATTATGTGACCTGAATTGTTGCTTTTGTTTTCTCTGATATCCATTAATTGTAAAGCAAGATATTATTCTATGCTAGAAAAAAATTTTGTAAGGTCTCATCTGATTGGCCCACGTCGGCGTTTTGCATTTGCGCTGATCTGCATTTTACTTGCGCTGATTTTTTCTTTCACTTGTGTCGATTTTTTCTTTTATTTGCGCCGATTGTGTACAGGTAAATTATAGGTGAATTGTCAATTATAACATGTATATAACTATTATCTCTTTCTAACCACGGGGAGGGGAAGTCGAAATTTTGAGCAGAATAAGTCAATTTAAAAGATTAAAGAACTCTGTTTACATCCACTAAAATCACAGAATAAAAATCTATTTACAGCATTCAATAGCACAACATTAAAATCCATAAAAACAGAATACAATGAATTATAAATCTGTTCTTGCTGAGTATTTATATGCTACACAACTGATGAATTCCTTCCTTGTAATTTCATCTCTTCTGAACTTGTTGTACTTGCCGATAACGAAGTCCATCTTTTCTTACTCCGGCTTTCGTACAGAGGCGGGCATTTCAAGAGTTATCATTTTGCCATAAGTAACGGCCTGGGTTTTCTTAATGACATCCATAAAGACATATATGTTAGGGTGGTGTGAATAGAACTGTTCATTATAATGCGAATGAAACGATTCTGGACCGTTTTCGTCCTCTTACAGTTTTCAACGGGTGCAGCAGCCCAGAAATAGGAGCAAATATAGAATTGTCGCTAATGAAAGAATCAAATCGTCGCAAATGAAAGATAGAAAATTTTTTTAAATCGGCGCAAATGTCATACGCCCGCCCACGTCACTTAAATGAGGAATTCTAATTCTGAAAATGTTTTTGTTTACATTAACCACACACTCCCTGAAACTAAAAATAGACAAAATCATTCCAGCTATAATCTAGACCTAAATTTGATATCTAATATATTATCTGCATTTTTTTACTTTTAAAATGATTATCCATTACTTAAATCTAAATGTAAACCGTTATTTTTTATTTATTAATTATAAAAAAAGATCATTACCCATATGAAAATTAAAAAAAAAAATGACAAATCAATAAGATGGTCTAGAAATTGAATAAAATTGAATAGCTATTACAGTTTATTTTAAGAAAATTTTTTCTTCATGTATGAATTTGTATTATATAATTTTCAATCTATTCTAGGATTACATGAACTTTTAAATTCATGTTTTTATTTTCTTTACTTAGATGCTGGTATTGTATAATATAATACTTTTGTAATATTCTAAAAAGAATTATTCTTATGTAGACAATTTATTGAAATCATGACCACTATATTGTTATACTAAATTGATGAGGTTTGTATTTATCAGATTTTTTAATAATTTATAAAAATCAAGATCAATATATTATGAATGTAATGTGAAGAGTTTTGTATTTTATATTAGAAGACTTGTCTCCCTTTAATGGGATAAATTTGCGTATTTCTTTTGAAAAGTGTTTTTTTTTAATGTACATTTTGATTTAATTTGTATATTTCAAATGAAGTGATATAGTATAGAATTCTTTAGATTGCTAGATATTTTTTAAATCATTAATTTCTCAGGCCGAATTTGCATTTTATGAATAAACCCGTTAATGTGATCTGTGCTCCTGATCTTGCAGAGGTCAAACAAGACAGGATCACATAATACTTGTTTCATCATAATAACTATTATTTTTTGTTATTACATGGCAGTATGAAATATATTGCTGTCTAGAAGTAAAAAAAGGGAAAACAATTTATGAATTTAATTTTATACCTTCCTGCAACAAATTGCATCTTTTTGAAAATGCATTTTTTTAAATGATCACATGTGAATTTTTTATAGGTTATAAAGCCTGAAAAAATTAGTTGTGTTCAAAATTATCCTGTTTGTATTTCACCTGAAAATCTTTAATGTTGTCTTTTTATAATTAATTTTGAATAATGTGTTCATATCTGGAGAAATATGTTTAACTGAATTCCAGACATCAGTTGGTTCTAATTTAAAGCATTATTTGTGATTTTATTCATGCATTGAAACTCTCATCAAAGTCTTTCTGAACTAGAGAACCATTTGTGCTTTGTCATTTAATGCATTAAAACTCTCATCTAAGATATTACTAAGTTAAGTTTACCTGATCCAACATAGCATAGATTGTAACATAACCATCAAAGTTTGTTAAAGAAAAGGTTATCTGAATCATTCCAAAAAAATGATCAATACATACATATGTTGGTAGATTGATAATAAGATAATTGGTTTTGCTCCGAACACATAGCTGTTTAAGTGAACCTGTTCAGATTAAATTCATGTAGTGTAGTAATAAGCATTATATTTTTATATTTTGCAAAAACCTCATTATAGAGGTCTTTTAAAAAATAACTTAGGTTTATACCTTATGAGAGAAAATCAACTAGGTCTTAAATGTTGCACTTTTTATCATTTTACCATTTTGCTACTGGTTTTGTAATGTTTTGAGTTATTCCCCTTTGATATATTAATTCAGTAAATTAGGTTTAAAAAGATTTTTCTAAATGGTTCCAATTTTCTGCTTGTTGCATTTTGGAAGTTTTAATTATCAGTCTTTTGTATGCCTTCACTCCAGCAGTTTTTTTTTTATGTCTATCTTAAAAAGAGAATTTTCTCACAGATAAAACATTTGATCCCAGTTTTACATTTTTTAAAGTGCTTCTACTTTTGAAATTATAATCAGTTAGGTATATTTAAGAATCTTCTTATGCTTTCATAAACAAGATCAATAACTCATACATTACAAAATAGACAATTCAGAAGCTTTTACATCCATTCCAATTTTTTTTTATTCATTCCAGTTATATGCTTGTTATTATATTTTTTGCTTTTTGTATAAAACTGCCATATTTATTTATTGCCTTTTTAACTTAACAACATTTGTGTGCTGTATATGATGAATCGTGTGAATTTATAATTTGTGTGTGAGAGACTGAAGCCTAGAATCTTAGGTAGTGTTGATAAGTGTCAGGTAAAATAAAGCTTGCATGAAAATGGAGTGCAGCAGTTGTGCGTTTTTCCTAAGCAAACTTATGCATACATGAATTTTTATTTTATCTGCAATTTTAAGAATTCCAGTAATTTTCTGGTTTTTTTTTTAATTCTGTTACAAAAAAAAATATTTGACAGCATAGCTATATATTTATAATTGAATAGAATAGAATAGAATAGAACATTTTATTTTAAGACGGGTTTACATGAAACATTACAAACATAAGCTCTGTAGAGCTTTTTGCTGATATTATAACAATAACAACACATACAATATTAAGACATATAAAACATACATATTAGACATACAAAGTAAGACAGCTATATTGCATAAGCAAAAAATATTCATATATAAAAGCAAAGAACAAACAAGTAAAGCACTATGTTTTCTTATGTCATTAGTTTAACTTATTTTAACTTAGTTCAGTATTTGTAATTTCCAGCAATGCTCAAATCAGACAGCTTCCAAATTTCAATAAATATCTTGACATATAGAAGTACTAAAGAACTTTAAGTTGGGAAGATGTGAGAATATTGCAAAAACTATTATGGCTGCACAAATAAAAAAAAGTTTCCCTTTAAAAGGATTTCAAAAGGTTAAGCTATGTAAAGGTACTAAATCTTAAAAAAAAATCACTAGACCATATATGTTTGGGTCAACTGTTTTCATTAATCAATTGTAAAGTTTTAAGTGTTGATACAGATCAATTAAATTCTGTTTCACATGTATGCTTTAAAAACATAGATGAAACTGGCTATTATAAACACAGTACTGATTTATAGAATTATCTCCCTTTAGCTAAGTATTTTGCTTATGTGAGGGGCTTTGAAAATAAGAATTTGAAAGGATGTTGTGAGTTACTTGCTATTGACTGAACTAAATGAATTGAAGGAAATGGGATAATTTTTATACTTGCTGATCTATACTTAAATGGCCAGTCACTTTCTATTAATTTCTGAAGTGTACTTTGGTGTCTGACAAAATATTTAATATATTTTTCTCAAAATATTTGTTTGTACTTTAGTGTTTTTTTTAATGAAATCTAATTTTTTTTTAGTTCAAATTATTTGAATGATTGTTACGGAAATACAAGAAAATCTGCATCTTTATTTATAAAATCTTTTTCGATACAAAATGTATGAAATATCAAAGTTATATGAAGATAGTTCCATATGGATGTTTTTCAGATAGAGTTTAAAAAAAAAACAAGTGGGAAAAATGTTTCCTGTTTACATATGAAATTTAGGAAACCCAAATTAAATATTAAATGGTATAAACTTATAGTAAAAAAAGCATAAAATTGACATTATTTTGTCAGATGTGTACTTGGAATGTATGATTTTGAAATGTAAGAGAGGTGTGCAAAATTGTTAAGGGCTATTCTATTAAAATGTATGTGGGAGGGTAGGAAGGGACTTTCAAAATATCCCTACAACCAAGAACCATTTTTTAGATAATTTTGTATAATGGTAATAGATGCATACTGAACAAAGACCCATGACCCACATTCAAAAATTAAACTTCCCTTCCTACCCTCCCACATACATTTTAATGGAATAGCCCTAACTGTAGTACCAAGGAAAAAGTCAGAAAGACTAGGAATCAGAGGATATTTTTTTCTACAGTCAACAATTTTATACTATACAAATACTGGTGTCTAGATAAACCAAAACCATATATGTATAGTATACAGGAGATCTATGTATTGTATACTTTTATTGCCTCATGGTATACTGCTTCAATTGCAAGAAAAAAGTAACATTCAAATGACGGTTTACCTCACAGTTAATTTTGGTGCCCCTTGTAGTCTATATCAAAGCAATTTGATTTCTTTAAGGAGTATGAATTTTAAAAACTGAAAATTAGAAAGTAATTGAAAATATCAAATTTGTTTATACTCTCAAAGAAGCTATGGAAAAGTAAAATACTATATTTTCTAACAACATACTTATTGGATATATATATATGAAGCTGATATCAGTATATGAGACACAATATTAATTGTTGCTAATTAGATCTTTGTTGTAATTTGTTGATGAGGCCTCATTAAATTTTCCAACAATGAATTTGTGCTAAGAATTTTTCAAAAGAAAAAATGTTTCCAAGCATTAGAGAAAAGCTATTGTACTATTTCTTACTCGATTGCACATTTGATTAAATTAGACTCATATTTCCATTTTTTGGAAATATTTTTTTATTATTCATTTAGACCAAAACAAATATTTTCATTGGTCAAATTAGGCATTTTAGCCTCTGCATTATTTTCAAGACTATAATGACAAATGAAAATGTTTCTTTACTATAAGATAGTAATAGTTTTTTTGTTTCCATAACATTAAAAGAGTACCAGTTTTGCAGTGCCTTTGTTACTTTGTTTTACTTAATATGGACGTCATTAGTGCAATTTCATGTATGTGCAATTACAGAACTAATCCAACCAAGGGTATTATATACAACATGTTGTTTTTTTTTCGTTTGTACGAAGTGAGTTTACCTCTTTTATCTTAAATGAAACATTTAAGGTTGTAAAGTTTATGTATTTATACTGTAGTATCTTTTTTTTTAAATCAGATTTTCATTTGATTCTGTTCACTACTTTAGGGCATTCAAATTTGGTTACCTTGTATGAATGAGTTTCTATTTATGATTATTTATGCTAAGATTTGATTAAATAATTATGCTCGTTTTTTAGTTATTTTGTTTTTTAAATAGCCATGTGTATATCACTTTAATTTGCAGTAATTAACAGTGTCTATTTTGCTATGTAATAAAACCGCATATGACACCAGACAAACAACATTAAGCCAAACACTGCACAGAAAACAAAACTTATATTAAGCAAACAAAAGTCAACAAAATACCGCACAGAAAACAAAATATTACACAAGGCAAAAATAGTCAACAAAGAATTGAAACAAGAGAGCTTTTTGTAAACAAAGAGCAATGTTGAATTAAACTGTGAACACTGAGACATTGATCCAACCATTTTTTAGGAAATATTGTGTGACACAATCAAAACCCTCATGCCACTGGCTTGATATCTATATTTTCCAGAGTTTATCACTACCTCTGACAGTTAATACAACATAGTGTAGAGACCTAAACATTCTTTAGATCCTGTCCAGTCAATGTCGTGCAATTTATTGATATATAAATTTAAGATTTTCCGGTTACGAAAACACAATGTCAATGCACTGAATGAGGACAAATCCCCTAGTGGGATCTCAGAGCATTGCATTTGATGGTGTATGGCAAAGGCAAGGCTAAACCTAGCTGCGGAACCGTAGATTTTATGTCCTTTTGGTATTTGTTGACAATTTGCGGACCTACCTATGGTCCGCAAATTGTCAAAGAATATCAAAAGAACCTAATAGCTACGGTTCCGCAGCTAGGCTAAACCCTAACCATTGCATTTCTGGAAGTATGAACTTAAAAATTAAACGTACTTATAGCCTAAATACGTTTAAATAATTATGTAGGTTGAAAAGTACAATATTTTTAGACAAAACCAATTTGATACGAAACTTGTTTACAAACTTTGATAAGATATGTTAACATGGTTAACTTGTACAAATACTTTCATGTTTGTTTGACGTCATCTGAAGATTTTACTCCATGTTTTTCAATATTTTTATGTTCGAGTACCTCCTAATCGTCTGCCAGGTGTATCTCTGACGATTGAAAATTGGAATTGGCGCAGCGGAAGAAACTTGTTTTAATTGGTGATTTTATACATTTTTCCTCGATCATTGTCAACATCACTTGAAAGAAAACAAATTCCCCGGAGCTTTCGTTTACATTCTCAATGGCCAATGACGTTTATATTCCTAGTGATTGCATAAGAGAGCGCGACATTATTTTAATGGTGGGATAACAACTTTGGTATTTAACTTGAGGAAGAGGTGTTGTATGTACACTATTGGTATTTATTTCACACCATTTCATTTGTAGTGGGAGTCTCGACACTTTATCATAAAGGGAATACCAGCTGTACAATCCAATTAGCAGGTTGTAAACAAACTATTAGGTGGCAAATTATGTTGTGCTGTTACACCACTGTCCTATGTTGGGAAAGGATCGGGCGCCCGCAATCTTGTCACATGTCAGGAGCCTGTTATTCAGTGGTTGCCGTTTGTTTGATGGGAAGTTGTCTCAATGGCAATCATACCGCATCTTTTTACTATATATAGAAACGAAACATTATTTACTTTGAAAATTCTTTTTATGTTACATTTTATTAGCACACATTGATGAAAGTGATTCCAGAACATTTATTTTAACTCATTAAATTTAGTGTTAAATTGTTGATTTTGAAGAATTCTTTTTTTTTTCAATGAGTTGTTTACCATCCTCTGAGATATGATTATATTTCAATGTTGAAGGAAATGTTTTGTTTTATCATATCAAATTCGTTTTTTATTGAATATTTAATCTCTTTTTAAGTACAAAATTCATAACGTTAACACTAAAAATGCAGTAACTCATAGTTTGAATACTCCGTATTTTCTAGTTTCGAAATGTTATATATCTAATGAAAAAGTATAACAAAAATACTGAACTCCAAGGCCAATTCATAAAGGGGAAGTCCATAGAAACTGACAAAATTAAACTCTATCAATCAACAAAAACAACTGCCATATTTTTGACTTGGTACAGGCATTTTCCAAAGAAAATGGTGGGTTAAACCTGGTTTTATAACGATAGCTAAACCTTCCACTTGCATGGAAGTTCTTTTTAGTTACGTTATATTGATAAAATTGAGTGAGCAACCCAAAAAGACACAATAGGGTAATAGGACAATATTTGGGATCCAACCATTGACTGCCATTTGAAATTAGGGTGAATTGGATAAAGACATCCTTGTGACAGGCCGCATACGGACCCCTCAAAGAGTTGTTACAAGGGTTTTTAACGTTCAGAGAACATGACATTCTCTCAACACGAAGCATCGGATTCGACGTCCCCATACTGAGTAGACGTGGCTGCGAATTTATACATCTCGCACAACAAAATGCACCTCAACTTTAGCTCAGGTTTTAATGCCAGTCGGAAGAAGACCAAAAGTCACCATACATCTATTCCTCAGCCACCCTTGGAGTTTAACGATAGGATGATCAATTAATTTAACACAAGAAAAATCTACTGAAGAGCGTTTTTGCATCATATATTATATGGTTTATTTTACATCTTCTCGTTCAATTTACAATAATTTCACTGTAAGGATTTTCGAAATGCATTAAGCTTGAAATCCATGAGACATATCTTGTCCTCATAGCTTCCGCTGCCTATGTGAATGACCTTTGACGAAACGCCATCAAGTTTCGACAGATTACTGAAACTACCGAAACCATATGGTGTACCACCTGTTATCAAATGATAGACTAAGTGTGGATTGCAAACACAATGCGGAAATTAACAACAATTATCGACTTAATAGATAATAGCCACACACAATTTTCTTCTACGTGCTTGTTTATATCTTGCTGTCATGCTCATCTTGGATACAATAGGTTCTTTGTAAAATTAAACAGAAAGGTATTTGCTGCTTCACCTCTCAGTACAAAACTTTGAAATAAGCCTTGTAGGCTTGTCCCTGTCCTAAGTCAGGAGCCTGCATTTCAGTGGTTGTCGTTTATAGCTGTATATTATATTTGTTTTTGTTCATTGTTTTGTACATAAATCAGTCCGTTAGTTTTCTTCTTTGAAATGTTTTAAATTTGTCCTGTCGGGGCATGCAGCTATCCATGCTATATGGGTTTTGCTCATTGTTATAGGTCTTACGGTGACCTATATTTGCAAACTTCTACGTCATTTGCATTGGTCTCAGTTGTGTAAATTATCTCTTTGGCAATCATACCACATTTTCCTTTTTATATTGAAGTGAGAATAAAATGTTCAAAGGTGCTTCAGGAGTGTTGGTAGATCCTGCTCCGCATGTGAGACCTGTAGTTGTACTCCTTTAAATATGTTGATATATAAGTTATATCAAGTGATAAGGTATCCCACAATAGTGGATACGGTAATTTACTCTAAACCATTACCAACATGTCCCACATCACAAACGAAAGTCACTTTCACAGTAATTTTTAAAGTGGTTCGTTTCAGCATTACTGATTTACAATCTCTATTTGATGGATGCATATTTTACCGAACCAGTCCAACCATTAAAACAAAACATCACCCACATCGAGGAAGAAATTTCACCACCATATATTTGATTAACATCTATATTAGTGAAAATAACCAAAATTAATGTTGTATTGTAGAGCATATTGTAAAAAAAAAGAAGGTACCGCAACGAGTAGAATAGAAAACACTGGCTATCCGCAACCTCCTGATACTAGGTGTATTTACCAATTAAAAGGTTTTCTTGATTTTGATACTTTCAAAGACCTATCACTAAAAGGAATGGTAAAAAGGCGAAATCTTATGGTATAAAGCTGACGTCGTGATTTCATTTATAATGTTTAAATATGAACTAATATTTTCTTTTCCCAAAAATATTAAGAAAATACACCCAATACTTTATCAAGAAAAATCTTTTAAGATTCAATTTTTACAACACCATGTGAATTTGGTACTTTCAAAATAGAAGTGGTAGCAACACCAACACAACCCCTCTAAATGCCTTCGTATAATTTACACGACGGGTGCCACATGTGGAGTAGGATCTGCTAACCCTTCTGGAGCACCTGCGATCACCCCCAGTTTTTGGTTGGGTTTGTGTTGCTTAGTCTTTAGTTTTCTATGTTGTGTCATCTGTACTATTATTTGTCTGTTTGTCTTTTTATTTTTAGCCTTGGCGTTGTCAGTTAGTTTTCGATCTATGAGTTTGACTGTCCATCAGGTATCTTTCGTCCCTCATTTACAATATCATAAAGGATTTTGTTTACTTTCTTTGTATGAAATCAAACCTTTATTTTGAAAGAAACTTTTTTCGAACCTTAAAAAATTATATTCGAAAAAAATCAAAAAGGAAGGATTAGGAATATGTATTTTCGTTTAAAGGTAGTTTCAAAATAAAGAGTGATTTATATACTGTTTCAATAGATTATATGACCATTACTAAATGCCAATAATTTTATTGTATGTCTCCGATACTAGACAGAGTCAGATCTAGATGGATGTTTGTCGGGAGAGCTATAAGAACGGACGAGCACACATAAACTTTATGTTTTGTCAAGCACTTGATACTTTACAATCGATTTAACAAATCATAAATGTATGTATTTCGTACTGTAAATTATAATTTTTATTTGTTCTACCAGAACATTGATCATGTTGATAGAGGTCTTAGCATGGCTTAGAACCACTAAATCGGGTCCTGTCGAAGAAACTATTACATAGAAGTATATATAGTACATACAATAGTTCCTGTTCACAGTGTGACTATGTAAAGAACAAAAATATTTGGGAAATTTGATATCAAATGAAAGCGTAAGGACTTGGGATCACTGTAGAACCATTTTTATAGTCCTGCATATTGGTGACAAAATTGTGGGTTTGATGATAAAAGCACCAGATTTGGTATGGTAGTAGTACTGGGTGTTTCAAATATTATTGTTATGGACCCGCCTTGAAATTTCAAGATGGCGGTTTTTTTCCAAGATGGCCGCCATAATGTATCAAAATCAACAGATATTACTTATATAACCTCATATTAGGCATAGTAGTAGTGATGAGTG